TATTCATTCCTAATAGTGAGATGTTATTATGATGTTAAAGACAAAAATATTGTCATCCAATGACAAGAAAAGTGAATATGTATGTGTATAATAATATATTTAACTGTAGTTGATACATTTAATTTGCTTGTCTTTCCACTTTTTAATATTTATGTAAGAATGTGATTTGAAATTTTGTAATAATGAATTATAATATATTTTACCTTTTATGACTTTATATTGAATTTGTATATATTTGAAGTATTTTAAAATTGTATCGAGACTAAACATTATGACTAATTGTTTTTAAATTCTGTTTTGTATATTATTATTGTATGCCTCAACGGCGGGACATAGCTGTACTTTTTTATTATTTAAGACCTGTTTCTGATGCATACCTATAGTCCACAATAAAGACGATTTGATTTGAGTACGGGACAAACTAAATGTAACCATTTAGTAATGTTTGCCTGTCAGTATTGTCCTGATTTTTTGCGATATGTAGATCAAGTAACACGCAGAACTTGTTAACAGATCTTGGTGTTAATATGTTGCGCACACGACTTTAACTTAACACATTGATTTGCGACTCAATTCTTATCTGAATAAGGGTCATATTTACTTCCTTTTAGCTCCTCTGCTCATGTTGTGAAGTGTAAATTTATATGGTCGAAAAGGTCTAATTGCCTTTCTCCAATGGACTACATTATTATATATTGTGTTAGTCAAATATTTACTAATTTAGCACTAGTATATGTTGGTTTTTTTAACTGGACTGCTAAAGGACCTTGTTTTTTTTGTATATTATTACTTTCGTGAGACATACTAAAAATATTATTATGTTTTCGGCTTACTCACGTAATTATTTGACGAGGAACTCGACTAGTTTCAAGCCATGCTAGAGGCTCATTCATGAGCAGCATTCCACGACCCGCGACGCGGCAAACTAGTATAAAGCCGAAAAAATAATATTATGTTATTTATTTATTTAAAAAAAAACCTTGCCCCACATTAGGATTATCTCCTGTATCGTTGGTGCGTTTACAAACATACAAGTTCACATGCACATGACACCCAGACCCGAATGAACAATTTTGTGGATCACACAAAGAGCTGCTCCGTACGGGAATCGAACCCGCTACATGTTACGCGGGAGCCAATTGCCCAGTCATCGCGCCAAAGTCAAGTCAATTATAAATTAAAAAACCACAAAATATGGATAATTGTTAAAATATTATATTTGTTTCTAACATATTCTTGAAAGAATCGTTATACTATTTGTCATAAGGTTATGTTTCATTCATTTTTTTTTATGGCATAAGCCGGTAAACGAGCAGACGAATCACCTGATGATAAGCAATCGGCGTCGCCCATGGACACCTGGAACACCAAAGGCATTACAAGTGCGTTACCGGCCTTTTGGGGATTAGGAGTTTGAGGATCGTCGTGGATTCAGGAATTGGGGAGATTGAGGAAGGGGAGGGTAATTGTGCCTCCGGTAACCTCACTCACAGACGAAACACAACGCAAGCTTCACGTCGGTTTTCTGTGAGGCCGTGGTATCACTCCGGTCGAGCCGGCCCATTCATAATGTAACCGTATTAATTATCCCATTTTTTTTTTAAGGGGGGAAAATCATCGAATGACTGCTCCCGCCTGGGTGAGGCGGGAGGGAGTGTCAGACTCTTACTGACTAAAAACCACCCCGTTCCTTCTCCTGCACGTCGAGCCGGAGCCCCGGTTACCCGTTAGGTTCTCCGCGACATTAATTATCCCATAAGTTAATTAGACAAGTGCCGCGCGCTAACGTACAGAGGGGCGCCGCGAGATTCGCGTGCCTAGGCTATAAAGTGGCGACGGCATCAAAATAATGAGGGGCGCCTATGAGGCGCTTGTTCAGGGAGCTTTCTAGGTTTAATCCGCCATTGCCTAACTAATAAAGAACCCGTTACCATCTAGTTATCTCCGTATTAGCATAAATCAACAAACAAACGAACAAGAAGGAAAACTATTTTGGAAACTAAGTCAAAATCTAGTCTTTTGCTAGATGTCTATGTACCTAACTTTATGCAATATAACTTATTATAACATCACGCCTCATATATCTGAAGGGGTAGTCAGAGGTGCACATTACGGCACTTAATGCCACTGTACAATGTAACACCCACTTTTCAATATTTTATGCTATGACTCTCATGTAATACGGGGTGAGCCTATTGCCATATACCGGACACAATTTCCAAACACCGTGCTAATACTGAGATTTTTTTTAACCCAGTAATACTTTGCTCGATCCGGGAATTGAACCCGAGACCCCTTGCCCAGCAGTCGCACTTGCGACCACTCGGCCAACGAAGCAGGCATCGTTGATATACATATATATATACAAGAATAATAATTGCTCGTTTAAATGTGTACTAAATTATGAAATATATAACAAACCTGCATATAAGAAGTAAACACAATCTAAAAATAACACTTTTTAACTTTGACACTTAATAAAATAATTATTGTTAATCTATATATGTATATATATATACGTTTATTTTGTTTATTGAAATCACTGAATCGTAATATATATATATATGACAAGCGCACTGTAAAACGACGTGCGGTCTCCTCGCGAGCCCAATTCTCACTAACATTAAAATATTCTTGCAACCAGGTACTGTTATTTCACATATACAGCTACCAACTTATAATGCCGATATACGGACGCAGTTCGAGTGAAAGTCTTAGGAATTTTATCTCAATACTAACTACTACTGTACAATTTCAATCACTACTCGGCTCCTTTTAATCGTAGCGTGATGTTTTATACCTTATAGCCTTCCTTGAAAAATTTACTATCTAACAAAAGAAGAATTGTTGAAATTCGACCAGTAGTTCTGGAGAAAATCGTGTTGAAAGAAACTAATACTTCAGCTTTGTAGATATGAGGCCGCTAACCTCTCGCTCGGCTGCAAGTTTATATTTGTCGCATTTTCGTTCGAATATTAGGTCGTAGAGAGTTTAGCATGACAACACTAAGTTTGCAATGTTTATACAAAAATCTAAAAATCTTAAAAGTTACATTTTTAACCCTCGCAACGTAATTTAAAATCGAATATCTTTACATATATACATAATTTCACGCCTGTCTCCCATAGGGGTAGGCAGAGACTATGGACCGCCAATTGCTACGATTCCTACATACCTCTTTCGCTTCATCAAGAGTCATCAATCTCTTCGTGCATGCTCGTCGGTTGAGGGTACTTTTAATTTGGCCCTTCTTTAATATATCGCCAATCTGGTCACTATATGTCCGTCTAGGGCGTCCTCTACGGACGGGCCCGTTCATATCCCCTCTGTATACTTCTTTCGTTACTCTACTTTCATCCATCCTTTCTACATGTCCAAACCAGCGTAACCTTCCGTTTTCAATCCTTGTCACTACATCATCTTTCAATCCACACTTTTCTCTAATAACACTATTTTTTACTCGATCACTCAATTTTAGTCCACAAATACTTCTGAGGGCTCTCATTTCCACCACATTAATCCTGCTTTCATGCTTCTTCTGCCACACCCATGATTCACTACCATACATAAGCGTTGGTGTCAATACACACTGCATTACAGCAAGTCGAGCTTTGCTGGTATCGAAGATCTTTATAACAGTTATTTGACCAGGAAAACAATGTAACTGTAATATGATAAGGGTACGGACACAGGTCCGTGAAGAAATACAATTTTGTTCATAAAGAAACCCTCACAACAAAAACTATATGCTCAAATGTGTCATGTTTAATTTGATGTGTAGAGGTATATCTAAAAGAGTCGTGGCGGCCCGGAGGTTTAAGACGCCCGCATGCATGAGGGTGCGGGCTCGAAACCTACCAACAGCAAGTGTCAATGTGACTTTTTACTTTCTTAGATTATTTAGATACCACTGACAAACGGTGAAGGAAAACATCGTGAGGAAACCTGGGCTTGTAATTTCTAATCATTACATTAAAATTGAGCAAGTGTGGTGATTAATGATCAAACGTTCTCCCGTGAATGGCACAGACCAGCTCACCATAACTCGTCCAGAGACATGGAGTACTGTTTTGGTTCCCACAACGAAATAAATCAGAAGATATTATAAGAGAAAAAGAAAAGGAGAATACAAAGTATCTATTGTTGATCCATCATTCATGGAACTCATAGATCATGGGTAGTTAGTGCTGAGGGATGCACTGTAACAGGCGTTGTACCGTCAAGGCTCTGGAGCTGATCTTTAATAGCCAGAGGACTTGCAGTGCGATTCTGGTGGGGATGGATTGTATGGGGTTAGAATCCCACACTGTAGGTACTAGTCTTTCTTCCCAAATATCTGGGAAGCCTTGTGAAGGTTCTCCCTGTAAGAGTTTGTAATAATAGAGGTCGCTAGTATCGTGCCTGTGGCAACCTCGTACACTACGACTCAATCGGTTTTGATATTTGTTATTTTTATGAGTTTAAAAAGAGGTGGTACTGTGTACATTATTATCACTACATACTATAAAACAAAGTCGCTATCCGCAGTCTGTCTGTCCCTATATACGCTTAGATCTTTAAAACTACGCAACGGATTTTGATGCGGTTTTTTTTAATAGATAGTGTGATTCTTAAGGACTTTGATTCTTAAGGAAGGTTTATATGTATAATATTATATTATCAAGCATATTGCACCCGTGCGAAGCTGGGACGGGTTGCTAGTATTATATAGGTACATTAATCACTGTAATAACGTTGCCCCACACTAGGATTTTCTCCTGTATCGTGGGTGCGTTTACAAACATACAAGTTCACATACACATGACACCCAGACTCAGAACAACAATCTGTGGATTACATAAAGTGTTCTCCGTGCGGGATCAAACCCGCGACACGTTGCGTAGCAGCCAGTTGTCTAGCTACCACGCCAACAGTACAGTTCGGATGATTGTTTATTCATGGGTTTTTTAAGGGGGAAAATCATCGACTTTCTGCTCCCGCCTGTGTGAGGCGGGAGGGAGTGTCAGACTCTTACTGACTAAAAACCACCCCGTTCCTACTCCTGCACGTCGAGCCGCAGCCCCAGTAACCCGTTAATTCCTTCGCGGCATGGTCCGAAGTGGGTGATTCAGTCCAAGTCAATATGAGTTCCAGCTGTCACCGCGTCAAACTCTTTTTTGCCAAGCTGTATTATAAACTAGCTACTTCCGCGCGGTTTCACACGCTCTGCTCAGCTCCTATTGGTCGTAGCGTGATGTTTTATAGCCTACTAGCTTCTACCCGCGGCTTTGCTCGCGTCACAAAAGGACAAAAAGTAGCCTATGCGACATATACCAATATACACAGCACCATCTATACCAATACTTTTGTTTTCCGGGATAAAAAGTACCCTATTATTTAATCCAGACTTCTAACTATATCTACATCTGCAAAAAATCAAAGCAATCCGTTTAGTAGTTACGGCGTGAAAGCAGAACAAACTCACTTTCCGATTTATAATATTAAGTAAGGATAGCTATCCTCGATAAATGCGCTATCCAACACAAAAAGAATTATTCAAATCAGACTTGTAGTTACGGAGATTAGCGTGTTCAAACAAACAAACAAAAAAAAACAAACTCTTCCGCTTTATATAATATATATATAATATGTAAGATCATACAGGCAGGTTTAACAAGGTTATTTAATTTAATACTATTTAACAAGGTGATAATAAAAACATTCATAAATATGCCATAATATTTATTATTATATATATACACACATAATATACTTGGTTGTTTGAGTCCTTCTTCATATGAAAAAACTTCGCGCGCCGTAAGTCTTGACGAACTAAATAGAGGAAAAATATTAATTTATTAATATTGCGACTTAAGTGTGGGAGAGCCATGCTTCGGCACGAATGGGCCGGCTCGACCGGAGTGATACCACGACCTCACAGAAAACCGACGTGAAACAACGCTTGCGTTGTGTTTCGTCGTGTGAGTGAGGTTACCGGAGACCCAATTACCCTCCCCTTCCCCAATCTCCCCATTTCCTGAATCCCCAATGATCCTCAAACTCCTAATCCCCAAAAAGCCGGTAACGCACTTGTAACGCCTCTGATGTTCCAGGTGTCTGTGGGCGACGTCGATTGCTTACCATCATCATACTTTTTTAAAAAGAGTAACGAATGGAGTTTCTTGCTCGTTCTTCTCCATTCGAATCTACATTTTGGAATGAGCACCTAGCTTCACTGACGGACTCTGACAGACTATTATTTATTTTGTATTTGTTGACGTTTCAAAAGTACCAAACTATGGTTTAATTGAAATAAATACTTTGACTTTGACTTTGACTTTCAGGTGATCCTATATTTCTTTGATTTTTTTATTATAGAGGTATGTTATTCAGAAAAACACGATGCACTTAGAATTATATTTCACCGAGACACCGTCACAGCGCAACATGTCGCCACGACCAACAAAATGTATATTAATAAACATAACATAACATCACGCCTTTTATCCCCGAAGGGGTAAACAGAGGTGCACATTACAGCAGATAATGCCACTGTACAATGTAACACCCACTTTTCATCCAGACTCCGTGCTACTACTGAGATTTTTTAAATTACAATTGTACTTTGCCTGACCCGGGAATTGAACCTGAGATCCCTTGCCCGGCAGAGGCACTTGCGACCACTCGGCTAATGAAATAGCCCAGTCAAATGTAATAATACAGCTCTATAAAGCCGTCCTTTACCGTCAGCTCTATGCAATACTTACCCTGATTCTGTAAATAATAACAATATATAATTATAATAATCTTAATTATGGCATTTATTTCACACAAACTAGTCCATCAACGAAAAAAATAAATAAGTTTTGTACATAGGATCATTTTGCATCACTACATAGTATAGAACAAAGTCGCTATCCGCCGTCTGTCCGTCCTTATGTATGCTTAGATCTTTAAAACTACACAACGGATTTTGATGCGGTTTTTTTGATAGATGAAGTGATTTTTAAGGAAGGTTTATATGTATAATGCATGCATATTGCTCCCGTGGGAAGCCGGGGCGGGTCGCTAGTTGTAAATAATTCAAGTTTTTAATATTAATAATGTATTTTTTATAATAACTATCGTGAGACATACTAAATTAACTAAAAATCGGGGGTTACTCACGTGAATATACTGGGAAAAGCTCTACTAGTTTCGAACCACAGAGGGGCTTACTCATGAGCAGCGTGTGCGGTCACGTTCGTCGCGTCGCCTCGCGTGATGAACATACTGAGTACCTACGTTCATCACGCGCACAGTACGTCGTTCTGTGCGCTTTAACATCGTCCAACGCGCCACCACTGGAGTTGGAAGCAAAAGTTCGTGGTGTCCGGCAGAGGGCGCGGTGGCAGCGTAAGTAGCAACACAGATGCGAGCGCCAACGCTAGCCAGTAGATTGCGCGACATCGCCGCGACTGCGCACGCTGCTCATGAGGAAGAACCCGTCTGTGGTTCGAAAGTAGAGCTTTTCTCAGTATATTCACGTGAGTAACCTACGATTTATAGTTAATTTAGTATGTCTCACGATAGTTATTATAAAAAGATACCATTGGTATTTAAAATCCCAGTTCCAGAATGGAATGGTAATTAATGTGTTAAAGTACTTGTTTCTTACCAGTTACCACCTGCGTCAGCAGCTGTAAGAGGAATACAACATAATCAGTAGCCGCATACATACATAACTTCACGCCTGTCTCCCATGGGGGTTGACAGAGACACCAATTACTACGATTCCTACATACCTCTTTCACTTCATTAACAGTCATCAATCTTTTCATGCATGCTCGTCGGTTAAGGGTACTTTTAATTTGGCCCTTCTTTAATAATATCGCCAATCTGGTCGATATTAGGGTTGCCACCCGTACTTTATAATAAAGTATTGTACGTTATTTAAGGTAATTGTACTCTATACTTTATAAGAATAATAAAGTACACGAGAATACTTTATTTTTGCAAAATTCGATATCGATATTTATCGACTTAAATATGTTGAATCGATTTCGCCACTCGCCAGCGCCACTTAGACAATTTCTAGTAAAGATGCAATTGTTTAGTATTTCAACGCAATTGTTTAGTAAAGATACTAATTGAATACAAATTGCAAAAAGCCATAAAAATATATTTTTAAAATAATACTACTTAAATAAGAATAAATTTTACTTTATTTTTGTACTATGTACTTTTTTTCTTACCTCTAATCGACAAAGTAGTTTAAATACCAAAATAAAAGGTGGCAACCCTAGTCGATATATATGTCAGTAGCCGCATGACAGAGTTAAATACCGACAGCCGCGTTAGGGCTGCCCGTCTCCAGCATTTCAATTACATTTGCCTACTTTATAGGTACTTAATACGAGAAAATAAAAAAATACGTGTCTAATATTTTTTCATCATCTAACTTACGGGCTAATTAGATTTTCAATTTTGGTACCCTGGGAAACCCAATTATAATTCAACAATATTTAGACACTTGTGTCAATTATTTCCGATGCTCTCTCTTATATGATCGAAGTTTTAGCCAAAACTGAAGGAAAGGAATGAAGATCAATGTGTTTAGTACTTATTGTCTTACCTGTGGTCTTACCAGTAGGTGCAGTAGCTGTAAGAGGAAGAATATATTCATTTGAAATTAATATTTATTTAATACTAGCTACTTCCGCGCGGTTTCACACGCTCTGCTCAGCTTCTATTGGTCGTAGCGTGATGTTTTATAATCTATAGCCATCCTCGATAAATGCGCTATCCAACACAAAAATAATTATTCAAATCAGACTTGTAGTTACGGAGATTAGCGCGTTCAAACAAACAAACAAACTCTTCAGCTTTATATAACAAAGTATAAGATTTATTGATATATTTAAAAAAAAACGTGAAGAAAATTACATAGCATTTTAAGAACATTATCAGTTGCCAATGGCTTCCAGACAGGCTTATTACCTCTAGAAGCGACCTGCATTCAGCGGCTCCTTGCTACCTCAGTCAGGTCGTGTCCTGTATAATTGCTTATTTTCATAGTAGGTACATACTATACTCCGTCTGTTTAGGTAGTTAACTATTTGTAAACAAACCATAAAAAGAGTTCTTTATAGTTGACATTTCCATGACTCAAAATACTTCATAAGAAAATAAAATTGTTTCCATTTTTACGACAGTTTTCTCTATTAAATGTTATGTTTCTGTTCCTTTTCACTTATTTCTTAGTAAATATTATATATATCTGCTTGAGCATAATAATTTAATAACATTTATTAAATAATATAATATTTCATTACAATAGACACCATAAAGAGCCTAAAATGCCAGGTATCCAAAACCTTTCTTTATGAACGAAGCATTAGATAATGTTGTCAAATTAAAGAGTACAATTAAGATGTAGCGCGACAATGAAAGTAGCGTGTATTACGTTTAGTCGGTTAATCAGGCGCCATTGACAGCTCTCTCGTCGTTTGCGCTCGCGTTCCTATTTTGTTGAATTTATCTTGTTTCTTTGTTTTGTTTTTGTTATTACGTTATTTAAGTTTAGGTTATTCATCGTTTTTAATTACTGTGTTCAAATATATTGAAGAAACTTGACCCAAAGACACATATCCGTACAAGAAAGAAATCCGTACATCAGATTCAAATAGTTTCTATTTAAACATGATAATGAAATAGACCCGTAGGCTAGGCTCTTGTACGTTTTAGGCATTTGTGCTTGTATGTGTGTGTGTGACAAATGAACGATTTTAAAGTGAATTTAGTTTAAATTAAAACACGAGAAATATTTGAAGTAATAGAAGGTTAAGTATCTCTGTGTCACGTGGTTTTGTTTGTTTACCTTTAGTTAATTACCTAAACAGATGGACTATAACTGCCTCGTTGGCCGAGTGGTCTCGGGTTCGATTCCCGGGTCGGGAGAATGTATTACTGGGTTTTTTAAAAGAACCTTAGTAGCAGCTCGGAGTCTGGAAATTTGCCCGGTATATGGCAATAGGCTCACCCCCAATTACATGGGACTCGTAACATAAATAGTGAAAAGTGGGTGCTACATTGTACAGTGGCATTGAGTGCCGTAATGTGCACCTCTGCCTACCCCTTCGGGGACAAAAGGCGTGAGGTTATGTATGTATGTACATACTATACATGATAAATAAGTAACCTGAAGGGTGTCCTCAAGGCCCGAGTGAATAGGTTGCTTGGGACGACGTGCTCCATCGTAGACCGCATCATAGCTTTACCACCAGGGGCAACAGTGGCCCATCAAATATTAAAAAAAAAGAGTCTGACACTCCCTCACGCCTCACCCAGGCGGGAGAAGTCATTCGATGATATTCCCCTTTTAAAAGAATGCTCAGCTCCGGCACAGCGTTCTTTCGAATTTGCCTACAGCTAGACGTCAGCGCGCTTACAGCGTCGCCCGCGAGTTGTAATATGTAAGTAAGCGTACCGCTAGCGCACCGCCAGCGTACAGGTGGAAGCTTTTTCTCACCGCGAGTATAGTCAACAATACATGGCATTGGCGATGCAATACGCCTAGAATATACGTGCGCGGGTTACGGGAACATACAATGCGACGTTGTTTCGCTCGCGTCTGGCGGGCGGCTCGTTGTCGGCGCGCTGTCGGCTCGCTGGTGGCTTTTTGTATTGACGTTGTGAAATATATCACACGACATAGGATTTAAAGTTCATTTTAAATGACAACTTAATTACTGGGGTGGTGCCGTGTCGGTAAAAGCGATTATCCAACAATGCTTAGAATCTTGTTCCAATTATTTCCGAGGCTCTCTCCTATAATATGATCGTAGTTGTAACCCAAACCAGGAAAAAGGAATGAAGATTGATGTGTTAAGTACTTGTTATCTTACCAGATTCACTAGCTGTAAGAGGAAGAATATATTCATTCTAAAATAATAGTCAATATAACATAACATCACGTCTTTTATCCCCGAAGGGGTAGGCAGAGGTGCACATTACAGCACGTAACGCCACTGTACAATGTAACACCCCCGTTTCACTATCTATGTTATGAGTCCCATGTAATAGGGGGTGAGCCTATTGCCATATGACGGGCACAATTCCAGACTCCGTGCTACTACTGAGAATTTTTAAAAAGCCCAGTAGTGCTTTGCCCGACCTGGGAATCGAACCCAAGACGCCTTGCTCGGCAGTCGCACTTGCGACCACTCGGCCAACGAGGCAGTCAATATTAAGTGATATATTGAAAAATATATGTAAAGTAAATTACATCACCACTCATAGCACTTTAAGAACATTATCAGTGGCCAATGACTGTCAGACAGGCTGGTTACAAGCGACCTGCATCCAGTGCCGGCTTTGTATTGTTTATTATTGTAGGCCACTTCATTCCACGGGAGCCATGCTTCGGCACGAATGGGCCGGCTCGACCGGAGTGATACCACGGCCTGACAGAAGACCGACGTGAAAGACGTTTGCGTTGTGTTCCGTCGTGTAAGTGAGGTTACCGGAGGCCCAATTACAACTCCCCCCCCCCCTTCCCAATTCCTGAATCCCCAACAATCCTCAAGTTACTAATTCAAAAAGGCCGGTAACGCATTTGCAACGTGTCAGGTGTTCCAAGTGTTCATGAGTGATGCCGATTGCTTACCATCAGGTCATCCGCCTACTCGTTTATCAGTTTATCCCATAAAAAAAGAAAGGAGAAAGATTTAAAATTTTTACAGTACCTACTTTTAATAGCAAAATCTTACAGGGTGACTTGTAACTCGACGTATTCCCTTCGGGAGGTGATAATACAACTAATTTCCTACAAAATTAGCCCTGAGGTGTTTGGTCCGTAAGTGGCTACTTTCTGAGATATTCCTTATTTTTGATTTTGGTCAAAAAATCCCGAACTAACTACAAAAACATCAATAAACAAAAAAATACTGGTTTGTTGTAACTAGGTTTTAGTTTGTATCAGTTGTCCATAAATCAATAAATATTCATTTATACTAGTTAATACTGCTGACAAAAATATCATTCAGTTAAAGGTACTCCCATCACCGGGAGCATTCACGTGTAATTAACTTATAGTTCATCAAGGGATGAACTATAAGTTTTAGGATTCAAATCCTATAATGCCTTGGCCTTCCAAGGCATTATAGAATTTACTTCGTTACTTCGAAAGTTTAAAATTACGATTTCAGCTGAGTTAACATATATTTTCAAAGTTTAAAAAAATATGTAAATGTTCGATCTTAGATCGGAAAAGGAGGATCCTCCTATCAGGCGAAGTGATCGTGCTTGGCGGGCTTTCTGCCCAACAACTGTTCATTTTAAGGTTAAGTTTTATTAGAAAACCTTTCTTGGTTTAGTAGCTAGGGACCTCAGGCACAGCAATAATATTAATATTACCATGCCTCATAACTAATTTTGTAGGAAAATAGTTGTATTATCACCTCCCGAGAGGAATTAAAAATCACCCTGTATGATTTTGCGATTAAAAAGTCTGATTCAAAACTGTAATATTGTTCATCCCACTGATCGTTGAGGGATCCACAACAGAAATACTAAAAGCGATTGTTCAACAATACTTGGAGACTTGTTTAAATTATTTCCGAGGCTCTCTCCTATATGATCGTAGTTGTAACCCAAACCAGGAAAAAGGAATGAAGATTGATGTGTTTAAGTACTTGTTATCTTACCAGATTCACTAGCTGTAAAAGGAACAAAATATTCATTTAAAAATAATCGTCAATATAACAATCGAAGGACCAATTAACCATCCCCCCTTTCCCAATCCCTGAATCCCCAACAAACCTCAAATTTGTAATCCAAAAAGCCCGGTAACGCATTTGTAACGCCGTGTTCCCGGGTGTCCATGGACGATGCCGATTGCTTACCATCAGGAGATCCGCCTGCTCGTTTATCTCATAAAAAGAAGGAGTGTAAAATAGAAACAAGATTGAAAAATTTTACAGTACTTTTAATAGAAAAATCTAACAGGGTGACTTGTAACTCGACGTATTCTCTTCGGGAGGTCATAATACAATTACATAACACAGGCATATCTTGCTTAAAAGGAGGCTCCGATCACAATTTATAGGTTCCGTCATCTGTTTTTACAAATAAACGATTTTTATTATTATTATTATTTTTAATTAATTTCCTACAAAATTAACCCTGAGGTCCGAAAGTGGCTAGTTTCTGAGATATTCCTTATTTTTGGTTTTGGTCAAAAAATCCCGAACTAACTACAAAAACATCAATAAACAAAAAAATACTGGTTTGTTGTAACTAGGTTTTAGTTTGTATCAGTTGTCCATAAATCAATAAATATTCATTTATACTAGTTAATACTGCTGACAAAAATATCATTCAGTTAAAGGTACTCCCATCACCGGGAGCATTCACGTGTAATTAACTTATAGTTCATCAAGGGATGAACTATAAGTTTTAGGATTCAAATCCTATAATGCCTTGGCCTTCCAAGGCATTATAGAATTTACTTCGTTACTTCGAAAGTTTAAAATTACGATTTCAGCTGAGTTAACATATATTTTCAAAGTTTAAAAAAATATGTAAATGTTCGATCTTAGATCGGAAAAGGAGGATCCTCCTATCAGGCGAAGTGATCGTGCTTGGCGGGCTTTCTGCCCAACAACTGTTCATTTTAAGGTTAAGTTTTATTAGAAAACCTTTCTTGGTTTAGTAGCTAGCGACCTAAGGGACAGCAATAATATTAATATTACCATCCCTCATAACTAATTTTGTAGGAAAATAGTTGTATTATCACCTCCCGAGAGGAATTAAAAATCACCCTGTATGATTTTGCGATTAAAAAGTCTGATTCAAAACTGTAATATTGTTCATCCCGCTGATCGTTGAGGGAACCACAACAGAAATACTAAAAGCGATTGTTCAACAATACTTGGAGACTTGTTTAAATTATTTCCGAGGCTCTCTCCTATAATGATTGTAGTTTTAGCCCAAGCCGGGAGAAATGAATGGAGATTAATATGTTTAAATACTTGTTGTCTTACCAGGAGCTTCAGAATCTGTAAGAGGAAGAAAATATTCGTTCGGAATTAATATTAAATATAAAAAAGTCTGATTCAAAACTGTAATATTGTTCATCCCACTGTTCATTCCGGGAACCACAACAGAAATACTGAACGCGATTCTTCAACAATACTTAGAAACCTGGGTCAATTATTTCCGAGGCTCTCTCCTATATGATCGTAGTTTTAGCCCAAACCGGGTGAAAGGAATGGAGATTAATGTGTTTTTTTTTTGTTTTTAGTTTAAAAAAAAAACGTTGCCCCACACTAGGATTATCTCCTGTATCGTGGGTGCGTTTACAAACATACAAGTTCACATACACATGACACCCAGACCCGAAACAACAATTTGTGGATCACACAAAGTGTTGTTCCGTGCGGGAATCGAACCCGCGGCACGTTGCACGGCAGCCGGTTGCCCAGCCACCGCACCAACCATGCAGTCATGTTTAAATACTTGTTGTCTTACCAGGAGCTTCAGAATCTGTAAGAGGAAGAAAATATTCGTTCGGAATTAATATTAAATATAAAAAAGTCTGATTCAAAACTGTAATATTGTTCATCCCACTGATCGTTCAGAGAACCACAACAGAAATACTAAAAGCGATTGTTCAACAATACTTGGAGACTTGTTTAAATTATTTCCGAGGCTCTCTCCTATATGATGGTAGTTTTAGCCCAAGCCGGGAGAAAGGAATGGAAATTGATGTGTTTAAATACTTGTTATCTTACCAGGAGCCTCAGAAGCTGTAAGAGGAAGAAAATATTCGAATTAATATTAAATATTTAGTGATATATTGCAATGCATCTGTGCCAATTCTGTGGCAGTTTATTGACGCCCTTCTTAAAGAAATCAGCTGGACGGAAGGAAACAAATTCTTCAAAGGCATTTTGTATTGCCTCTCGGGTATTGAATTTTTTCCGCCAAGAAATTTATTATTCTTATTCTGGAAAAAGTAGTCTGTAGGCGCAAGGTCTCGATGACGGAAAGCTTCCAACCCCAGTTCTTGCAACTTCGAGACCGTCTGCTGTGCAGTATGAGATCGTGTATTGTCGTGCAGGAGCAGCGGAGACGAGCGTTTGACCAATGCTGGTTGGAGATGTGCCAGCTTCTCCACATGCAGTAATGCTCACCCTGATATCTGTGACCACTTTTCTAGGGGGTAAGTTTTCGTTTAGGGCATTGTTTAGGTGCTGAACTAGGATCCAACCGACTTGCCGAGCACTTGCGGTTATTAAACAGAATCCATTTTTAATCGCAGGTAATAACGCGGTTCAAAATTACTTCATTTGTGTGTCTGTTGAGCAGTGCAAGGCACGTCTCGAACTCTCGACGCGTACTTCGCGCTGGCGATCACTAAGTTCGTGGAGCACCCATTTCTCAAAATTTTTTACCTTGTCAATTTGACGCAAATGGACACATATCGTTTTGAAGCTAACGTCAAAAGCTGCTGCTAATTCAGCCGTAGATTGTGTATCATCAGTTTCCACAGTACTGTTTAATTCGTCATTGTTAACAAAAGTCTTCGGACGGCCGCGAGGTTTATTTGTCAGGTCGACATTTCCAAAACGGAAGGGAGCAAACCAATGTATTCTTTCAGCCTTTTCTGTAATATTGTTCATCCCACTGTTCGTTCCGGGAACCATAACAGGACTACTAAAAGTGGTTACTAAGAGAATTGCTTCAATTATTTCCAATGATTTCGAGGCGAGAACCTCGGTCGGTAGATTCTAGGGGACACCTATATAATAGGGTAGATGACTCATTTTTATATTAATGTCCGTCTGGTAGATGGATTTAAATCATTAGATACATATTTTTTATTTTTTTACAGAAACGAATAACTTTCGACGATATATTGATTTGAAATGTCGCGTGACGTCACTTCTATGTACATTTTATACGTAGAAATGACGTTTTACCCCCGACTCCTAAATTTTGATTCGATATATTTAGGTATGATTTTATTATATAACAAAACAAAACAATACGTGTCTAATATTTTTCATTACCTAACTGACGGACTAATTAGATTTTTAATTTTCATACCCTGTCATCATCCCTATTGTAGTTTTAAAACTACATTCCTAATTGGAGATTAATGTGATGATGTTGTCTTACCAGCAGATTCAGTAGCTATAAGAGAAGGAATACATTCGGAATTAATATAAAATAGTATGTGATATATATATTAAAAAATATATGTACCTAAAATAAATGACATCGCTACTAGTAGCACTTTAAGAACATTATCAGTTGCCGTAGTACGTTATACAGTTTGACTGTTATGGTGCATCCACACATAGGCCCGCCGGCAGCCGGACATGCATCTTTAAGACCTCAGCCTCGAACATTGCGGGCGGGCACCCCTTGACTGGAGGGCATCGTTCGTTGCCCGATCCCGCGCCGCTGCCCCGCCGCTGTTTTTGAGAACCAATCTATTTGAATTTACGCATAAGAATCATGCCGCCGCCGCCGGCGTCGTCCCGCTGCCAGCAAATTTTGAGGTTGAGGCATTAACCGCGGCACGCGCGGCTTTTGGTTGCCAGATTTTTTGTTGGTTGAAAGGTCTCCTGGTTTTGCGCTAAAACTCCATTCCTAAATGGAGATTAATATGTTTGAGTACTTATTGCCTTACCAGCAGATTCAGTAGCTGTAAGAAAAGGAATACATTTAAAATTAATATGAAATATTAAGTGTTATATTTAAAAATATATGTAAAGTAATTTACATCGCCACTAGTAGCACTTTAAGAATATTATCGGTAGCCGTAGTTCTTTATTAGGTTTGGTTGTTATGGTGCATTCACACATATGCTCGCCGGCAGCCGGACCGGGCGCACATGCATCTTTAAGGCCTCAGCCTCGAATTTTGCGGGCACCGAGGCGGCGGCCTAAAGTGGCACGGCGGACACTGTTTAACTGGAGTCGGCTCATTGCCCGCTTCCGCGCCGCTGCCCCGACACTGTTTTCGAGAACTATAACATAACATAACTTCACACGGGTAGGCAGAGGTCCACATTATGCCACTGTACAATGTAACACCCACTTTTCACTATTTATGTTACAAGTCCCATGTAATAGGGGGTGAGCCTATTGCCATATACCGGGCACAATTCCAGACTCCGTGGTACTACTGAGAATTTTTTCAAAACCCAGTAATTCTTTGCCCGACCCGGAAATCGAACCTGAGACCCCTTGCCCGGCAGTCTCACTTGCGACCACTCGGCCAACGAGGCAGTCCATTTGAATTTACGCATAAAATCCTGACGATCCCGCGCCGACGCCGCCGCCGCCCCGCTGCCAGCAAAATTTGAGTCTGGGGCTTTACCCGCGGCACGCGCGGCTATTGGTTGCCAGATTTTTTGTTGGTTGAAAGGTCTCCTGGTTTGCATTAAAACTCCATTCCTAAATGGAGATTAATATGTTTAAGTACTTATTGCCTTACCAGCAGATTCAGTAGCTGTAAGAGAAGGAATACATTTAAAATTAATATGAAATATTAAGTGTTATATTTAAAAATATATGTAAAGTAATTTACATCGCCGCATTGGTTGACGGCGACAGTTTGTTTGCGACTTCGGTACGGAGTGATAGTATTGTTGTATTCATATATAACTTCATTTCTTGTACATAATGAAATGACAGAATTAAACTGGGATAGTGCAGTACTTTTATTAATAGAGACTAACTTCGACGACAGTCATAACACTATTGCAAAAATTCTAACTGTATCTGCAGGTCGCTGGCTAAGCCGGCAGCAAGTTCAGCGGCAAGGCGGTGTGAAAGGTGGCGGCACGTGTTTTTTTTTTTTTGAGGCAGAATAACATCATCCATTGTCTTCTCTCGCCTTGGGTGAGGCAGAAGGGAGTGTCAGACTCTTACTACAATTTCTTTTTTCTTTGCCCTACACTAGGATTTTCTCCTGTGTCGTGAGTGCGTTTACAAACATACAAGTTCACATACACATGACACCCAGACCCGGAACAACAATCTGTGGATCACACAAAGAGTTGTTCCGTGCGGGAATCGATCCCGCGACACGTTGCGCTGCAGCCGGTTGCCCAGCCACCGGGACAACCGTCAATACTTAGAATCTTGTTCCAATTATTTCCGAGGCTCTCTCCTATGATCATAGTTTTAACCCAAACCGGGAGAAAGGAATGGAGATATTAATGTATTCATGTTAGGTCTTACTGGCAGCTCCTCCACCTGTAAGAAGAAGAATATTTTATTCAATGGACTGTAGTAGACATACATACCTACATAGTATTTAAGTGTTATTTATTAAGACTGTTATTATTATTTATTTAAGACCTATGTGTTACCTTAACATGCAAATAAACACTGAGTTTGAATGTGGGAGAGCCATGCATCGGTATGAATGGTTCGACAGGAGTGATACCACGATCTCACAAAAAACTGACGTGAAACAACGCTTGCATTGTGTTTCGTCGTGTACCCCCCCCCCTTCCTTCCTTCCACAATCTCCCCTAGCCCTAAATTCCCAACAATCCTCAAATTCCTAACCCCCAAAAGGCCGGTAACTCACTTGTAACGCCTCCGATTGCTTACCATTAGGTGATCCGTCTGCTCGTGTACCGGCTTATCCCATATAAAAAAATAACCTCACACCTATCTCCCATGATCCCAGGCAAAGACTATGGAACGCCAATTGCTACGATTCCTACACACCTCTTTCGCTTCATCAACAGTCATCAATATTTTCATGCATGCTCGTCGGTTAAGGGTACTTTTAATTTGGCCCTTCTTTAATACTAACTGACTCGTGCCCACTTCGTTGGGCCGTAAACATTTTTACTTATGATGAAATTATACTGTGATTCGGTTAACGCTGCGCATCTTCAGCGCTAGATCCCCAAGCACGGGCCTGCAATGATCTCACTCTTTGGTTAACGAGCCGCTGCCAGCGTTTAGCGCTAGTCTCCCAATCCCAATCCCTTGTAGCTCAGGTATTTATTTTTTTTTAAGGGGAGAAAATCATCCAATGACTTTCTCGTCTTGGGTGAGGTGGGAGGGAGTGTCATACTCTTACTGACTAAAAACTACCCCGTTCCTATTCCAGCACTTTGAGCCGGAGCCCCGGTAACCCGTTAAGACCTCAGCGGCTGCGCATCGCCCTGTTGATGCTACGGAAAAATTTCAGTGCAGTTTAAAAACATTTTAAAATATGCTACAATATGCAGGGGATTGTTCGTACCTGAAGTTTCCGATACTGGTGGTCTGGAAAATATTGAATAGTCACTTATTAGTTAACATATTAGCTTAGCAGCATAAGTGGAAAATCACAAGAATCAACTAGACTTAACATCATGCCTTTTATCCCCAAAGGAGGCAGAGGTGCACATTAGGGCACTTCTTTGAACCCCAGGCCATAAGGGCCGCCATGAACATTCCTACATTTTTTTTTTTTTTTAATGGGGGAAAATCATCGAATGACTGCTCCTACCTGGGTGAGGCGGGAGGGAGTGTCAGACTCTTACTGATTATAAACCGCCCCGTTCCTTCTCCTGCACGTCGAGCCGGAGCCCCGGTTACCCGTTAGGTTCTCCGCGACATCATTACGGCACTACCACTATACAATGTAACACCCACTTTTCACTATTTATGTTACGAGTCCCATGTAATAGGGGGTGAGCCTATGGCCATATACCGGGCACATTTCCAAACTCCGTGCTACTACTGAGATTTTTGAAATTCCCAGTAATACTTTGCCCGACCCGGGAATCGAACCCGAGGCCCCTTGCCCACCCAGCAGTCGCACTTGCAACCACTCGGCCAATGATGCAGAGCAGGCGACAAGAATCAATAATAATAAATCTTATGTCGCTGCTGCTAGTGTCTTTGCCCGCGTTCCTGTAGAATAAAAGCCTAGGTAAGCCTAAGCCTAAAAAAGGTAGCCTATGTGGTAATAGAGTAGTTTCCTAAATTTTATTTTAATGTCCGTCTGGTAGATTAATTTAAAACATTAGACAAGTATTTTTTCTTCTCCCACAAAATTAAATACTTTCGACGATATATTAATCTGAAATATTGTGACGTAACAACCTCCCACTCCAAAACTTAGCGCCATTTTATCTAAGTATTGCAACTTAATACGAGAAAATAAAAAAGTATGTGTATAATATTTTTCATTATCTAACTGACGAGCATTGAGCACGCTTGCTGAATGCGGGTTGGCGATTTCAAACGTATAAAATAGAAATTATAAGAAGCCCAGGTTTCCTCACGATGTTTTCCTTCACCGTTTGTCAGTGGTGTCTATATAATCTTAGATAGTATATATAACTCGGAAGTAGTGACATTGGTACTTGCTGTTGGTACGTTTCGAACCCGCACTCTCATGCATGAGAAGCGGGCGTCTTAAACCTTCATGCCATAATGACTATTTTCGTAAAAACATTCGCATGTTCGTATAATATTAATAATAGCTACTTCCGCGCGGTTTCACACGCTCTGCTCAGCTCCTATTAGCCGTAGCGTGATGTTTTATACCCTATAGCCATCCTCGATGAATGCGCTATCCAACACAAAAAGAATTATTCAAATCAGACTTGTAGTTACGGAGATTAGCGCGTTCAAACAAACAAACAAACAAAAAAAACAAACTCTTCCGCTTTATATAATAATTAATAGGTAGTATAAGAGTATAAGATAAAATTGATACCCGATTTCTAGAATATTCTTTGTTATATGTTCACCATCGATATCGAACGTAGCCTGGAAGAATCCATCGAACACTGGTGCGTACTCGTTTATTCTGATAATGATAGACCCTTTCTTATCTGTATTGTCGCTGCCAAGCTGCAATACAAACATATAAAGGAGAGAAAAGAAGAAAGAAAACATTTATTCGGCATATTACGTGCACAGAGACGTAGACAAAAAAAAACATAACATAACATCAAGCCTTTTATCTCCGAAGGGTTAGGCAGAGGTGCACATTACAACAATTAGGTAATGCTGCTGTGTAACACCCACTTTTCACTATTTATGTTATAAGTCCCATGTAATAGGGGGTGAGCCTATTGCCATATACCGGGCACAATTCCAGACTCCTTGCTACTACTGAGATTTTTAAAAATCACAATAATAGTTTGTCGGACTCGGGAATCGAACCCGAGACCCCTTGCCGGCAGTCGCACTTGCGACCACTCGGCCAACGAGGCTGTCTGGTCTACAGCATAACATAAGACTATTGAATAAATTGCAGTTAAATAATGTCCACAATACTATTTTAATCTTTGTTTTTATTTATTTTTGCAAAGAAAATTATAATGTTTACATTGTTATTATTTGACAGCTCCCGCAAATGTTGTAAACGCTACGCGTCGCCACCGTCGCGCACATAGCTAATAACACTCACTGTGCACGCAACGGATGCCGCGTTTTGTATGATTTGTAGTGACAGAAGCACTTAACCGCATCTTAAAATTGGGTAGCCCTTTAGTATTTGGATATAAGACTAAAATACCATTGACTTACCAAGTAAAATACTAATGAACCAATACCCGATCGACGAGTACCTTGAGTCACGCTCACAGGGATTCCATTTAACCGCAACTAAAAAAGAAGACATACATCTTACACTTACATATATACATCCCCACCATATAGATGGTTGGCAGGCCACAACTGTGCGCTTCTCACGTAGCTTCCTGCCTCGCACAGCAAAACTGTGGAATGATCTGTCGTCGACGGTATTTACGAACCGATACGACCTTCAAACCTTGAAGAAAAGAGCGTATTCCTTTTTAAAAGGCCGACAACGCACCTGTGACTCCTCTGGTGTTGTGGGTGTCCTTGGACGGCGCTGATCACTTACCATCAGGTGATCCGTCTGCTCGTTTGCTTTCTATTCCATACAAAAAAAAACACAGATACACAATGTCTCAAAACATTTGTCAAGAAAAAGATATAGTGTCTTTTTTATGGGATAAGCCGGTATACGAGCAGACGAATCACCTGATGGTAAGCAATCGGCGCCATAGACACCTGAGACACCAGAGTCAATACACGTGCGTTACCTACCGGCCTTTTAGGGATTAGGAATTTGAGGATTCTAATTATAAGTTTATAATCGCCAACCCTCATTGAGCAAACGTGGTGATTAATGTTTAAACCTTCTCCATTTGAGAAGAGGCTTTTGCTCAGCAATGGGCATTTATAGGCTGTTGATAAATGTATGCATGTCTCGGCGCCCGCGCTTTGTGACCTGGCGCCTTAGACTGTCTTGTTTGCCTTAAAATTTTTTCAATGGCATGAGCCGGTAAACGAGTAGACGGATCACCTGATGGTAAGCAATCGGCGCCGCCCATGGACACACCAAGGCGTTGCAAGTGCGTTACCGGCCTTTTGGTAATTGGGAATTTGAGGGTCGTTGGAGGATTCGGGAATTCGGGAGACTAGGGAGGGGGGTAATTTGGCCTCCGGTAACCTCACTCACACTACGAAACACAACGCAAGCGTTATTTCACGTCAGTTTTCTGTGAGGCAGTGGTATCACTCCTGTCGAGCCGGTCCATTCGTGCGGAAGCTTGGCTCTCCTACACTTGGATATTACAGGCCTGGTAGAAAAAGTTCAAACTCTTCATTACCTCTTTCACCTCGCATGGCTCTTTGCACTCATAGTTAGATGTATATTCAAATTGCTCCCCTTCTGGAGGTGAATCTACCCGTTGTGGTTCATTTAAAATCCGAACATCTGGAAAATAGAGAAAAATAGTTTTTTTTTAAATGCCACAATCTAGGTTTTTCTCCTGTGTCTTGGGTGCGTTGGCAAAACATGCAGGTTCACATACACATGACACTCAAAACCTGAAATAACCGATAGTTTATTGAAAATGGGGTCCTTGCCAACTAGTCAAATTCAATACTTTTTTAGCTTTGTTAAAACAAGTTTTCTATGAATTGGGTAGTTTCCAGGATATGTATCAGAGACATTGTAGAACATACTTTTTTTAAAAAGAGTAACGAATGGAGTTTCTTGCTCGTTCTTCTCCATTCGAATCTACGTTTTGGAATGAGCACCTAGCTTCACCTAATTTCACTGACGGACTGACTGACAGACTATTATTTATTTTGTACTTGTTGACGTTTCAAAAGTACCAAACCCTGGTTTAATTGAAATAAATGCTTTTGACTTTGACTTTGATATCAAAATCGAAAATCTAATTAGTCCGTCAGTCAGATAATGAAAAAATATTAGACACGTATGTTTTTTTTATTTTCTCGTATTACGTTGCAATGCTTAGATAAAATGGCGCTAAGTTTAGGAGTGGGAGGTCGTTACATCATAACGTGCTACAAAATGTGGCACGCTGTGACGTCACACGATATTTCAAATTAATATATCGTCGAAAGTATTTAATTTTGTGAGAAAAGAAAAAATACGTGTCTAATGTTTTAAATTAATCTACCAGATGGACATTAAAATAATATTTAGGAAACTACCCATTGTGTACGAGATTGTGTATTGTGACGTCATGTTTTTTAGCGTCAAACAGCATACTTATTTCTTAAAAAATTGTTGAAAATATACTAAAATTAAGTTGGTCGTAAAGTCAATTGTTGAAAGTGTGACTATTTTTTTCATATTTTTTTCTATTGGATAGTCGAAATAATGTATTTTTGAGTCAAGAAAGTACCCAATTGGCAATAATGTGTGTGTGATGATCTTAATTCGGATAAAGATAAGTTCTAGATACAAATGAAAGAATTACCAGGTGCTGAAACAAATATAAATTAATAAATCAGTCCGGTAGCCTGTTTCACAAGACTTTATATTTCTAAATCGACAGTGATAGTATAGTCACTATCGGAGACTCGGTTGCTATTCAAGAAAGTAAATTAAGTGTGCTTCGGTACGAATGGGCTTGCTCAACTAAAGTGATACTACGGCCTCACTGATAGCCGACGTGAAGCAACGCTTGCGTTGTGTTTCGTCGTGTGAGTGAGGTTACCGGAGGCCCAATTACCCTCCCCTCCTCCAATCTTCCCAATTCCTGAATCCCCAACGCTCCTCCAAACTCCTAATCCCCAAAAGGCCGGTAACGCCTCTGGTGTTCCGGGTGTCCATGGGCGACGCCGATTGCTTACCATCAGGTGATCCGTCTGCTCGTTTACCGGCTTATACCATAAAAAAAAACTAAATCATTTTTTATAAATAAACTTAAATAACTTAATTATGAATGAAATATATACATACAACTAAATTATATCTTATACTATTGTATAAAGCGGAAGAGTTTGTTTGTTTGTTTGAACGCCCTAATCTCCGGAACAAAAACTCTGATTTGAATAATTGTTTTTGCGTTGGATAGTGCATTTATCGAAGATGGTTATAGGCTATAAAACACCATGCTACGACCAATAGGAGCTGAGCAGAGCGTGTGAAACCGCGCGGATAATATAATATAGCCTTTTATTCCTAAACATTGGGTGACAAGAGGTCTTTAAGTACGGTGTGCCTTATGGCATAGGCCTCCTCTCATTCTTTGCAGTGCGTTCTGTCTCTTGCTACTCTCAAACAGAAAGGTCCCGCTGTCTGTTATAAGTCATCTTCCCATCTCCTGACTTCACGACCCTTGCTTCTTTTGCCATCCCTTGGTAGCCAGAGGGTGAGAGTTGTTTGCTCCATTTGTTAATAGAGTGACGTAACGTATGCCCAGCCCATCTCAATTTTTGGATGTTTATCCGGGTAAGTGTGTGTTTTTTTTAAGGGGTGAAAATCATCGAATGACTCTTCCCGCCTGGGTGAGGCGGGAGGGAGTGTCAGACTCTTACTGACTAAAAACCACCCCGTTCCTTCTCTTGCACGTCGAGCCGGAGCCCCGGTTACCCGTTCGGTTCTCCGCGACTTCGAATCGGCATCGGCCCTATTGGGCCCCATCTGTGGTGGTCTGATGGCTCTTTGAGGCGCGCGCGGAACATGACGCGCCGTACGGTCGGGGGTAAGTGTGATACGGAGCCGCGGAGAACTTAACGGGTTGCCGGGGCTCCGGCTCAAAGTGCAGGAGTAGGAACGGGGTGGTTTTTAGTCAGTAAAAGTCTGATAGTCCCTCCCGTCTAACCCAGGCGGGAGAAGTCATTGGATGATTTTCCCCTTTAGGAAACAGAAAATATAGTTCCTTAAGATCGGAGAAGGAGAATCCTCCGACCAGGCGAGGTGACCGTGCCTGGCGGGCTTTCTGCTCAACAGTTGTTCGTTGGGATTTTCTATCCATGTTTATTTGCTTGTGAACTTTAAGTACATGTGCGATGTAGGATTTTTGTGACGTCATCCGCTGGCTTGTGACAAGTGTCGCCTCACCCCCATTATAAAAAAATCCGGTTATGTGTGTCAGTAAGTTTGTTCACGATCTTATGTCAACGTTCCTGACGTTCCTTTGATTTTTTATTATTATCATTGTATGTCTTTACCATTCACGGGACCACAGGGTCCCGGTCATTTGGGAGGCGTACGAGGGGCCGAAGCCAACTGCGCAGAGGCCCTTTAGACAACTTTAATCTAAATGTAATGGAGACACAAACCGGCGACGATCCCTGTATGCACTATGGAAATGCACCCAAGGACAGTCCCGGTTAGTGTAGGACTATTGTGGATAATGGAAAAAAGGTAGGGCTATGGATGGGTTGCTGTAGACTGGGAAATTGGGGACTATCGATGACTATGACACCTGCCGAAACAATGTAATTTTTACACGTAAAAATGGCAGGCGGAGACTCGCCAACTCACCGACCGGACCCCGGGAATGGTTGCTAGATATAGCAACAGAGGGACAACGAGAATGTGAGTGGCTGAAGGGTTAAGAAACTACCACCGCTTTCTACTCAGATCATCTGCTCCAGCCGAAGCCTCCTGCATCCCTGTCCCACTCGCGACTTACGAATAGTTTCTTACCCTCCGAGCAGGATCACTGCTCTCGCGACTCCACTCTGGACGGCCAATGAAGGCAAGCCAGAGGTGGGAGACCTGTTCCTTGTCATTGTTCACTCCAGCCAGCCAATAAAGGCAAGCCGGAGAGTAAGGAACGGTGACTTCTCCCTGGAGCACTCGGGATGATGGTAGCCCGCGGGATCGCTAATGCCCGTCACCTCGCCTCAAGGTGCCCTGCGGGCTTATTATTATTATTATTATTAATCATTTATTTCAGACCTAGAGTCCATAAACTGTTAGTAACAATGAGCTTAACCTATTGTTAGTAATTTAATATAATATAAATAAACAAAACTAATTCTACTTTACAGCCGCGTGCATTCTAATCCAATGGCCCAACATTGAACTATCCCATTTATCACACAATAGGTACGCTCAAGATGCTGTGTGAAATTCAAGTATTAAGTTCCATACTTTTATAATAATAAAACGTGCTTTTTATCTATATCTATACTAATATTATAAAGAAGAAAGAATTGTACCTATTTTTGTATGTTTGATCTTTGGTAAAATTTGAACAATGTAACCGAAGGTGTAGAAAAATGAGTCTTAAAATGTCTTTCGTGGAATGCGCTGCCGAAACTATTAGCGATAGAACAAAATAATGTACAACAATATTGAAGAACATCATAATGTCTACAAAAAACTCCGCGGTAGCATATGTCCAACTATTGTAGTTATGTCACTACAAAATTCCAAATTTCTAAAAATAAATAATTGTCTACCCCGTGCGAAGCCGGGACGTAAATAAAGAATATTATTTGAGCGTTACGCGGCGTTTAAGAGAGCAAATTCGACGAAAAAGGCCAGATTTGTGGTAAGAAAAATCTTGGATTTTGTACCACGACAATGCGCCTTCGCACAAGGCTATCATTGTGAAGGAAGATATGACTTTTTTCTTTTTCCTAAACTCAAATTACCACTTCGTGGCACCCGTTTTCAATCGATAGAAGACATAAAGGAAAATTCGCGGCTAGAACTGAACTCAATTCCGGAAGCAGCGTTAAAATAAATGTTTTGATGAATAGATTATTCGTTGGCGCAAGTGTATCGTTTCTAAAGGAGCATACTTTGAAGGTGATAAAATAAATTTGGATGAATAACAGACATTTTGTGTATTATTGATCTTTTCCCGGTACTTTTTAACGTGGGGTTCTTCAAGAGGGGAGTGAATAGGTTTCTTAAGGGTCGGCAAGATGCATGTAATGCCCCAAATGTTGCAGGCGTACATAGGCCACGGTAACCGCTTACCATCAGGTGGGCCGTGTGCTTTTTTGCCACCGTCGTGGTATAAAAAAAACTTTCTTTACAGAGTAGTATATAGAATAAAATAGATACAGATAGATAGATTATTAAAATTAAAATACTCACAGGCATCTGCAATTGGAAAATTTTGTTAAAAATACATGATTTGAAGTAACTAGTTTAGTTTGCCGGCTAGACCTCGTTGACCGAGTGGTCGCAAGTGCAACTGTGGTAAGGGGTCCAAGGTTCAATTACTAGGTCGGGCAAAGTATTATTGGGTTTTTAAAAAAAATTTCAGTAGTAGCACGGACTCGGGACGCGCCGGACTTCAGTGTTCTGGTTTTTTCATGGTTGTATCTACTGTAGATCCTGGCTTACAGGAGTTGCAGCGGTTTTGGGAGGTTGTGACGGGCTTGTCCCAAAAAAAAGTAGCACGGACCCTGGAATTGTGTCCGGTATATGGCAATAGGCTCACCCCCTATTACATGGGACTCATAACATAAATAGTGAAAAGTGCGTGTTACATTGTACAGTGGCATAAGGTCGGTAATGTGCACCTCTGCCTACACCTTCTGGGATAAAAGGCGTGATGTTATGTTGTATTTATGTGGCAGCGCCATAAAGGCATTGTAACATAGAAATAAAAGCTTTTAAAATTTATTTCGTTTTCGTCACGCGGCAAAACAATTTACCATAATAAGTACTTTCGAAGTAACTACTATCTAGACTATTTGAATCGCATGTTCTAACCGACTGTAAATACCTCTTCGACAATTGAGTTGTTTCAAGGGTATCAAAATTAAACATCTAATTAGTCCGTCAGTTGGATAATGAAAAAATATTAGACACGTATTTTTTTATTTTCTCGTATTAAGTTGCAATACTTAGATAAAATGGGGCTAAGTTTAGGAATGGGAGGTTGTTACGTCATAACGTGCTACAGAATGTGACACGCTGTGACGTCACACGATATTTCAAATAAATAGATTTATTTATCGTCGGAAGTATTTAATTTTGTGAGAAAAGAAAAAATACGTGTCTAAAGTTTTAAATTAATGTACCAGACGAACATTAAAAGAAAATGTAGGAAACTACCCTATTACATGGGGTGATGTTTTCAAAATGTAAGTAGGTACCATGAGTTCGTATGCGCTTTCGAAGTTTGTTTTTACAATGGTTCACCAGATATTCTTTTTCTTTTAACTTCTTATTTCTTTGTAAAATCAAGACTATTGTATTACCGAGACAGAACCATTTCACTTCGGGACGAAAACGATGTAGATTAACGGTATATCTGTGTTACTTACTATCCAAAATAGCGATGATCTTGTTATATATACTGTCTCCACTCTTGAACATACCCAAGTACACGCATGAGTTGTCGTCTTCAAACCTATAAAAAGACCTATCTTAAACCTAAATGTCTACATTAAGCTAAGGATACACTTTTTTTTTAAGGGGGGAAAATCATCGAATGACTGCTCCCGCCTGGATGAGGCGGAAGGGAGTGTCAGACTCTTACTGACTAAAAACCACCCCGTTCCTTCTCCTGCACGTCGAGCCGGAGCCCCGGTTATCCGTTAGGTTCTCCGCGACAAGCTAAGGATACACTAGGACATCGTTTCCCAGGCTTTTCAGCCCACGGACCCTTTGGAAATCAAGAACAGCTTTCACGGACCAGGGGGTCCGTACTAAACTCGGATCACGTATTTATTTTAGTGATTACAGATAAGAAAAAAAAAACAAATACAGAAGGTATTTAAAACTATTTATTAATACACCCTCCCCTTCCCCAATCTACCCAATTCGTGAATCCCCAACGATCCTCAAACTCCTAATCCCCAAAAGGCCGGTAACGCACTTGTAACGCTTCTGGTGTCCATGGGCGACGCCGATTGCTTACCATCAGGTGATCCGTCTGCTCGTTTACCGGCTTATTCCATAAAAAAAAATATGAAAAAAGAACAAACAAATTAATGTGAATGTTGGTGTTGCTTTTTTGCAATTAAATCAGGGGTATTCTGGTTGAAGTCGCTACAGCTTAGTAGTAGTCTATAATCTCAAATCAGATTCTACTTTGTTAGTTGTTTTTGCGGCCCTTTTTCATTTAATCTCAAAGAGCCACCAGACTACCACAGATGGGGCCCAATAGGGTTGATGCCGATACGGAGCCACAGAGAACCTAACGGGTTACCGGGGCTCCGGCTCGACCGACGTGCAGGAGTAGGATTGGGGCGGGTTTTTAGTCAGTAAGAGTCTGACACTCCCTCCCGCCTCACCCAGGCGGGAGCAGTCATCCGATGATTTTCCCTTCTTAAAAAAAACCCTTGACGAAATTATTTAAACATTTTATTGTATTGAACAGTCGAAATAATTTGAGTACCCAATTTCTTTAAGTCAGCGTTTCGGGAGCGTGCATGAATGGATGATAAGAAGATGAGGAAAATGTATGCCTACCGATAGATAGCTTCACTTACCCAGTGTAATGTATATTTATAGTTTTGGAAGAAGGTATAAGGGCAATACGACCCTGAGGTATGACACTGTCGCCTTTACAAATGATATCATTCAGTTCGCATTCCGATTCACAAGTATATGCCAAAGTTTTATCCAGTTTGCTACCAGTGGTCAAGGACTGTTTCAACCGACTGATCTTGATAACTGAAACAAATCAAAATTAAAACTTTAATGCTATTAATATAAGGCTTATGGCATACGGAGCCATGGAGAACGTAAAAAGTTTTAAGGGGGGAAAGTCATGGAATGACTGCTCCCGCCTGGGTGAGGCGGGAGGGAGTGTCAGACTCTTACTGACTAAAAACCACCCCGTTCCTTGTCCTGCACGTCGAGCCGGAGCCCCGGTTACCCGTTAGGTTCTCCGCGACAACAGTGAACCTTAGGGTGACGCAGGAAATTATTTATCTGAAACAGTTCTAATGATCTCTATTCTACCTTTCGTTTGATGTCCATAATGGAGGTAAGTCGTAGCAAATATTTTTCTTTTCTTTTTTTTTTAAAAAAAGAAACGTTGCTCCACACTAGGATTTTCTCCTGTGTCGTGGGTGCGTTTACAAACATACAAGTTCACATACACAATGACACCCAGACCCGGAACAAAAATTTGTGGATCACACAAAGAGTTGTTCCGTGCGGGAATCGAACCCGCGACACGTTGCATGGCAGCCGGTTGCCCAGCCACCGCACCAACCGAAATTGATTATATTGTATGGTCATCAAGATTAAGAGTGTGTACCAAATATTAGACGCCTTAGTACGAGTTTGTTTTACGGATAAAGTATTCGAAACGAGTACGCGTTCGGCGCGCTGATTGGTTGCTTCATTGGCGCCGGCCAATCAGAGCGCCGAACGCATACTCGTTACGAATACTTTAAACGTAAATGAAACTCGTACTAAGGTCTCAGATCGATCTGTCGTCGAAAAGGGTGAAATTCCAATTTCTGCTTTTTTTTTTAATCTGATGGGTCAACGTATGACCTCTATCTCGCCTGGTAAATCATGATGTGGTACGAATTTACTCCAAAAAAAAACAAATGAATATCACAGTATAAAAATCAAACACTAGTATGACGCCTAGGATCTCGTGTAAAATGCCGACATCGTCTAGTCTAGACAGTAACGCATCGGGTTGTCAAAAATATGAGCTTATGGCACCGACTTTTACGATTTTTAGATTGTGATAATATACTTACCGTTATCTGGAAATAGAAATAAAATAATTAAATTAGAATATTTTATTTAAATTCCATCGAGAACATAAGAGAGGGCTAGAGAGGAATATTTCTAAATTAAAGCTCTTCTAGTTCCAAGGCTTGGAACATAGAGGGGTTCTTCCTAACGAGCAGCGTGCGCGGTCGTGGCCTACAGCCAGTAAGCTGCGCAACATCGCCGCTGAGGAAGAACGAACCTCTCTGTGTTTCAAAACTAGTAGAGCTTTTCTCAGTATTTTCACTTGAGTAACCCGCGATTTTTATACTCGGAATTTTAATTCGATTCCAGATTTGACAATTTCAGTGTTGCAACGTTATGACAAGTACTAAATAGTGACGTTGCGAAATTATTCGGTATGGAAATGCAATATTTCTGGATCGATTCTTCTCGTTTATAATTTTACTAAGTACCTCTATATCAGGAAATTAAATATTTCTGAACCGATAATTTAGTTTTGACGATTAATTAACGATCTGAGACTTTTCTTTTACAATTGTGTGTGAAATAAATAAAAAAATGTGATCATGAAGGAACATGATAAATAAAACAGATAGATGTATTATAGTAATATGTTATTTTATAAATTGTCGCCGTCATCGCTATCGCTATCCTGTCACTTTCTATAACATCAATACATAGTATAAAACAAAGTCGCTTTCGCTGTATGTCCGTATGTATGCTTAGATCTTTAAAACTACGCAACGGATTTTGATGCGGTTTTTTTTAATAGATAGAGTGATTCTTAAGGAAGGTTTGTATGTATAATACATGCATATTGCACCCGTGCGAAGCCGGGGCGGGTCGCTAGTTTATTATAAAACACACACACTGATTGTTTATCGATTTTTGTGTTCATCACTACACTATTATATGTGGTATCATTATTTCACAAAATGACAGTAGCTATTGTCAAATCTGGAATCTAATTAAAATTCTGACTATAGTG